TTTAAACAATTTTGAATTAATACAAATTGCACTGTTGATACACACAGTATACACCACAATGCGTTGATTTACACCACCGTATTTATAGTTAAAACAATAATTAATTTAATAAATAATGTTACTAGTCAGAATTCTATAACGCATGAATCATTATGTAGGTTGTTTAACTATATTTACGTATCTGGTGTTTTGCGTTATATGCACTGTTATTAAATGTGTACACTCTTAATGTCAGCGAGTAAATTGTGCCGAGTAAAACAAGTTGAGTAACAAAATGAGCAATTCAGTACTCAAGCTGGAGTAAGACCTTGATTTTAGTGGTACTCGTCACCCGAGTAATTTGTTACCTTCGATAAAGAGTAAATCAATGACTCAACATTGAGTACGAATTTCGTTTGTATCAATTTTGAGTAAACTACGGTTGGGTATTACGCTGCGGCAGGTGATAAATAAATCAACATTGATCTCTTACCCGAATTTACCTCGGGTGCGAGTGAAAGTTGGATCGATGGAAAGTGCAACTAGCTGTCAATATGCATGTGACACCTGTTCTACACATTTTTACATAATAGCAGCTGTATGTTCCTTTGTCTACCTAAGGAACAGGATATTTTGTACTCTTTCATTGTCCGTCATGTGCATGTCTCGTGCATGCATGTGCGCGTGCAGAAAGATGCGAAAGAACTGAGATACACTCTTAGAAAAAAAGGGTGCAAAAAAAGGGTGCAAAAAAAGGGTGCAAAATAAGAGTTTGCACCCTTTACATAAAAATGAACCCTATTGAAGTAAAAGGGGTTAAAAAAAGGGTGCAATATAAGATTTTGCACCCTTCCCACAAAAATGAACCCTATCGACCAAAAGAGGGTGCAAAATAAAAGTTTGCATATTGCATGCATATTCGTGATTACTTTCCACGTGTTCACATACAAATACATTTATCATGATTTGTTAAGCAAATTATGACAATGCACATCAATTTTTTGATTTTGTATTTTCCTTTGGCAATCATTAACCAATATATTATTTTGTCTGATCATGTTACAATTACATTCACGTTTTAGCAATAGATATATTGATTATATGATTACTAACCAAGAAACATCATGCATGTTTAATATGTATTTGTGTATGAGCAAATTTTACCAGTATTCCTCGATGATGGGTGTAGGATTGCACCTTTTAAAGGGTGCAGGATTGAACCCCTAAATGTGCTGCTATTGCATCGGTTTGCACCCCTAATGGAGTAAAAACATGTACTTAACTTAGTACATGTTTTTACTCAATATTGATTGAGCAACTAAGCGTTACCCAGAAAACATACTCAGTAATTGAGCAAAAAAATCGCTCAAACAATTTGAGTCAAAACATGTACTCGTTAATTGAGTAAAATTTGGCTCAACTCATGAGCAGTTTCTTACTCGACATGAGTTGATTACGTTTCTACCCAGTACTGAGTAAAAAAGGAAACCGCTAAACAAAGAGTAAATATTGAGTAAAGGTTGACTCATTCAAACTGAGTAGAGATTTAGTCTTTTATTGAGTAATATTTTTACTCAACAGATGGGTAGATTTGTTACTCAACACATGCTGAGTAAAGTTTACTCAAAAGTCGGGTGGTTTCCTTTTGACCACCCAAAAGAGTAACATTTTGACTCAAATTGAGCAGTTTTTTTTTAGAGTGTAGGTATCTAACAATAATGACACCTGCTACACAATAATGTTCATCAGTAATGAATGGAACATGAAAGAAAACAACTATTATTCAATTTATATCATAATCAAATTTCTACAAGCAATTTCTTTGTGTTAATCATTATTCACATATTGAAAAAAACAGGGTAGCTCATTGACAATCGTGTTCAACCATAAAGCCCCGTACATAAACAGAGAGAAAGAAAGAAATTAAGGATATACATTAACAAACATGGCCTATCCACATATGCACAATGAAGTCAAATTTAAGAAAGTTGGGACATATATACAATAAATCAAGTATCTAGTATCAAGTATCAAGTTTATTTGTCTTCCAGAAAACACATGTGACAAAATATAATAGAGTATAATCATATTACAGTACAATGTAGAATAAAGAAAGACCAGGAGACCTTGGTTGAAGCACAGCTTCTTAAGTTAAGGCCCCCTCATATGGTGTGACAAAGATAACTGATTCATGAATACAACAACAAATATGGAATATATACTATTCACAAAATACTCTCAGAAAACAACTACCCAACGATACATCGACCACAGCATGGATGACCACAACAAGTATACCCGAATATGCGCACATCCCCATCCCACCGGTTGAGCTAACAAACTCACCGGCCCGAATTCACAAAGGAGGTTTGTCGACAAACCTAGGTTTATGTACGTCATATAACGCGTTTGGACGCGTTTTTTACAAGCCAAGGGGGTTACCTAAGTTAACTCTAAGTTGGACTTAATAATTATGGAAAGCCATTTGTAGCCTCAAAATGAATTATATTCAAAAGCAAAAATTCAAGTAATTTAGACTTTTTATAAATTCCACATCAATAACATGAAATCTCCTTGATAATAGAAAACATGAACGATTTTAATTAACATTTCATGCCTTTTAAAATAACCTTTACAAAATATTTTCATAGATGCTAACGGCTTTCCATAATGTCCAACTTAGAGATAAGTTCAACTTAGGATCTTTGTGAAACACCCCCTTGGTTTCCAAAAACGCGTCGAAACGCGTCATATGACGCACGAAAACCTAGGTTTGTCGACAAACCTCCATTGTGAAATTGGGCCACCGTGTGTGTTAAAATGTATGCCATATGAGCACAAACAACCCACCCATGGGAGGGCGACCTAATATGGACAAACCCAAGACACCAAATCGAGACATCAATAAGTTAATCTGAGTGCAGAGGTTAAGTAGGAATATATGGTATATGTACAGATGGGAAAGAAGAAGAAAAAGAAGAGGGATCAAAGGGATTATGTCAAAGTCAAGAAATAACGAAAAATAAATCGAGAGTAGAGTTAAATAATTATGCTAAAGTACATGATTTGACCTTGAAATCAAGTATTTATCTAAGTTTTCTATATTATCTATATTATTACACACTCTTAATTCTGATCACGTTGATATCGTGGACTCTTACAAGCCCCTTTTTCGTTCATTTTGTAAATTATATACTTTTTCCTTTCTTCGTAAATTGCATGTTAATACTTAGCTCTGCTTGTGTAGGCCTGTGGCCGATGTAATAACACTATTTCCCCATTAATTTGATTATCATACCATCCATTGAAATGCTTGAACAAGATTCTTTTTTTCTATTAGATTTAATATGCATGCACATATCATATCATGTCCTCAGTTGGTAACCAACCGTATAATCACGGTGATTTTACCAGATTTTGGGGTTTGAGGCCGTCGTGTTGAATCAAGTGAAACATGGATGGTGTGTATTATGTACCATTCCCCCCAAAACATCTACCCTGCTCCCGTGTTGAAATGGTTTCTCTAATCATCTGATCATGAATCTACGTGTGAGACATAAGGCCATGATCTGACAATCAACAGTGAACAATTTTAACATAACAAATATGAAACGATTATGACATTATATTTGGATGAAACATTTATTATGCATAATATAAGAAATGTTCCCTCCATTTATCTGCTTGTATACTTATAACATTTGGGGCTTAATGTCCATTTTCCTTGTACTGGATACAGCTTTCTAATTTTGAGCCGAGACATGGGGGTGATTAAAGTTAGATATAAGTATGGCAATGCTTACACCAAATACCGGTATTAGGCCCTATATTAGTCAAACCCCACGTGGTCTTGATTTCATTTATTTATTTATTAAGTAATTTTCACTAACTACCCGATCTTTAGATTTCCCAATCATATTTCAACCTTTTTTTCAGTCGAAGTTGTAGTAGTTAAACAATATCATAACAATATCATCAGTCTATTATAACATGATTGTCCCGACTAATTTTCCTACCACAAGTATATTACATTTCATTGACATCATCATAGTTTTAAATGTATTACTATCTCATCAGTCACTTCATTTACTCTTTATACCGGCTCATCTTCAGTCTCCTTCCTTTATCACCCCTCCCTACTTTGCTCACTCGATTTTGCCCATTCTACGTGTGAGACATAAGGCCATGATCCGACAATACACAGTCAACAATTTGAACAATAAAAATATGAATCAATTATGAAATTATATTTGGATGAGACATAAATTAAGCATAACTTAGAAATATATCCTCCACTTATCTGCTTTTATACTTTAACATGTAATTTGGTGCTTAATAGCCATCTCCGTGTAGCTTTCTATTTTTGAGCCGATCGAGGCATTGGAGTGATTAAAGTTGAATATAATTATGGCAATGCTTGCACTAAATACCGGTATTATATCAATCGAACCCAACGTGGTCTTGATTTCATTCATTTTTGTATTAATCAATTTACTCTAACTACTGATCTTAAGAATTCCGAAATCATGTTTCATCTTGTTTCCGTTGAAGTTGTTGTGGTTAAACAATATCATAAACAATAAAATCAGTCTATTCTATCATGATTTTCCCAACTAAATTTCCTCCAATGAATATTAAATTTCATTTGCATTATCATAGTTGGGAATGTATTACTATCTCATTACTCACTTCATTTACTCTTTATACCGGCTCATCTTCAGTCTCCTTCCTTTATCATCATTCTCTCTCTCTCTCTCTCTCTCTCTCTCTCCGCTCCTTTTCTCAATCGATTTTTGCCCATTCATTCTTTTTACAACTTAAATATGGCAGGAAATGCTATGCTACTGAAAATACTGATAAAAATACACATAGATGAAGAAGCATTTCAGATTTTCTCATTCCTTCGTGTCAACTCCCCCCAACCCCCGAAAAAATAAAATAGGATGTGACGTATGTGTGGTATGTAGTTGTCATAACAAATATCATGACTTTGGACGTAATTTCGAGTAAACTCATTGAATATGTTTCGATTAAATAGGCCGCGTCCCTCTATGTGCTATACTTTCTTACGGAGACATCCCCAAAGCGAGAAATGAATTGAAGCATCTCGGGATCACTGGTATGCACGAAATACCTTACCGTGATGACATGCGCTCCGATGAGGATCAGTTGCAGTGGCTTGACCTCCTACGTGGATGCCTTCACGAAGGTGACAAAGCAAGGTATGAGAAACAGATGAGCTCATTGGTCGCAGAAATGACGAAGAAACTTGAGTCTAAGCAACAACGCGTAGACACTTTGACCGAAATCGTAGGAGAAAAAGAGCGAAATGAGACGACTCTAAAACTACAAGTTCAGGAGCTAAAGAAAGGAAGAGAGGAAGACGGAGCAAGGTCTGAGAAAGAGAGGCGCTCATTGGCAGAAGATATGACGAAGAAACTCGAGTCTAAGCAACAGCATGTAGACGCTTTGACAGAAACCGTACGGGAGAAAGAGCGAAATGAGACGACTCTCAGACAGCAATTTGAAGAGCTAAAGAAAGTAGGAGAAGAAAACAGAGCAAGAACTGAAATGGAGAAGCGCTCATTGGCAGAAGATATGACGAATAAACTTGAGTCTAAGCAACAGCATGTAGACACTTTGATGGCAACCGTAAGGGAGAAAGAGCGAAATGAGACGACTCTAACACAACAAGTTGAGAAGCTTAAGAACGTAGGAGAAGAAAACAGAGCAAGAGCTGAAAAGGAGAAGCGCTCATTGGTAGCAGATGTGACGAAGAAACTTGAGTCTAAGCAACAACGCGTAGACACTTTGACGGAAACCGTAGGGGAGAAAGAACGAAATGAGACGACTCTAAGACAGCAAGTTGAAGAGCTAAAGAGAGGAAGAGAGGAAGACAGAGCAAAATCTGAGAAAGAGATGAGTGCATTAGCAGCAGATATGACGAAGAAACTTGATTCTAAGCAACAGCATGTAGACACGTTGACAGAAATCGTAGGGGAGAGAGACCGAAATGAGACGACTCTAATACAGCAAGTTCAAGAGCTAAAGAAAGGAAGAGAGGAAGACCGTGCAAGAGCTGAAAAAGAGAAGCGCTTATTGGAAGCAGAAATGAAGAATAAACTCGAGTCTAAGCAACAATGCGTAGACACTTTGATGGAAACCGTAGGGGAAAAAAAGCAAAATGAGACGACTCTAAGACAGCAAGTGAAAGAGCTAAAGAAGAAGCATGATTATAAGGAACAACTTTTGGAGCAACTTGAGCGTGAGACCTGGAGGCTGAGAACCAAAATTCAACTAGAAAGTGAGATTCGATCAGCAGAACAGAAGAAGAAAGCAGAGTCACACCAATGGAGTTTCATTCCTTGGGTAATTTCTGGAAAACAAGCTCAGGGTGGTAAGACTTTATTTTCATTCTCCCTTTCAACTCCTTTTTTGTCTATTATACATAATACTATATAACTCATATTCCATTTTTGTCACTTTTTAAAATATTTATAATTTGAAGCTTATCAAGTCCAATATGGTCTATATAGCTCCCTATACCCTATTCTGCTACTTTGAAATACTTCGAATATCGAGTTTATCACAGTCCATAATGATCCTGAACATAAATGTTTATGTTTCTTGTTTGTTTTTGTTGTCATTATGTCAGAAATAACGCCATTCGATTAAATTATCCAAGAAAACTGGAGCTATGCAATGCTTGTTCATTATAGACACTTTAGAAGTATAAAAAACATAGAAATGTAGTGAACAATAAAGATCCAATGATTCAAAATATTTATCTTATTGTTTTTTCTCATCCAAACTGACTTCATTCCTTCATGAAAGGCACATCATCATTTGAGGATAATTCAACCGGAGGACTGGGAAGGAGTGATACATTACAAGCAGGGTGAGATGAAATATATTTACTCTTAAATGACAATGGACGCATTATTTATCTTATTGTGACAACACTATTATGGAATGTACTTTTGTGTGTAAAATGAGTGGTGCTAAAATGTCAATAACAATTATACAAGTACGGCAGCGCTTATGTTCTATGGATGCAAAATCATGTTTATAAATGTTATGACCACCTACATGTGATTATGTAGAACCAAAAGTGAGTAAAAGATTAAAACTCATTAACAAAAAAAGAGAGAATTTGGCTGCATTAAAGTCTATGGTAATTAGAGTTAAAAGTGAAATCCTTTCATGACTATATAATCAGTAATTTGAGCATGGTCTCATCACCGGAAGAACGCATTTTCCCGTTATTTTTTCTTCAAGTAAAGATTTCAATTACTTTTTAAGTTGATACGTCATACCTACGTTCTATGACCGCTCCATGTTTGTCTTTTTTGTTACCATGTACCATTCTAGAGAGGAGCCCCCAGATGATGAGTTTGCAGGCATATTACAGCAGATAGCTGACGATCTTTACGATGAAGCCAAGATCGACAGCCTTGCTGGTCAGCTGGGAATCCTACATGGTGATATACAGAGAGCGCTCATGACCAATGTGAAGTTCAACCGAGTTACCAGTGATGGAACTCGCCATATACTGAAACAATGGAGAAGAGGTGTGTCCAGGGAAGATGAACGGATTGAGCTTACGAAGGCACTGCACGCTGCCAAGTTGGTCAACCTTGCAGACCTGTATCTCAGCGAAGGTAAAGTTTATTTTCATTAATAACGATTGTAGTTTCGTAATAAGGACCCCATTTAACACTTCAGCAACATACTGATATAGTTGGTGTACAATACGGCCCATGTGTTTAGATACCAAGGTGACGTAATGCAGAAAAAATAGCTGTGCACACAAAAAAAATCCAAACAGATGCTGACTAGTAACATCAAGTTCTCTTCTACTACTATAAAAAATATAAGAAATTTGAAATTCAATGCGATAAGTTCTACACAATTATGATAATTCCGATTCGATGTCAATTGAGATGGAAACAAAAATTATTTCTTTTCTTTCTTGCTGCCGGTCAGGTGTAGCAGAAGAACAGATCGATTTGGAGTATGCCAACGAAGACGTCAATGATCAGCAACTCTCTGATACAGATGACACCTCTCTAGAACAGGACCGGACCAAAAGACACACTGACATCCAGGTACTTCAGGGAGCTACAGCAATCAGTAACCACACTCCTCGAGATGGGCATACAGGAAACATGGCTGCCAAAGCACAGGAGAACGTGGCAGATGGTAGTAGGAGTCAACATCTTGACCAATCGCCAGAGCGCAGTACAGAGGACTTGGATGAATCTGAAGTGACTTCTGAAGAAGTGTCCTCAAAAGAAGTTCATCCTGGAGATGATATGAACAACGTTAGTAGCATTCAACCTACTGAACAATCGCCCAGCCATGAAATACAAGTCCTACCTGAAGATATGTCTGAGATTACCCCTCTGGTATCTTATGGTGGGAAACCCAACGAGGAATCCACCACCTTGGATAAAAGCCATGTAGGCGGAATCATAAGTAACGAAGAAGATCTGATTTCTCAACTCGTTCTTACTGATACATCCCCAGAGAAAATATTGCTAATTTTCCTGGTAAAGATAGTAATGGATGCTTCCCAGAAAGCATTCAGTTTATAAGGAATCACCAGATAATCTTCATCATGTCAGATTTACTTACATTATTTTAGCTTACGATGTTTCAGGTCCACTCCGGTACCCTTCATCAGGGCGACTGGTCTTTAGCACCAAATGATTGTTGACCCATGAACACGGTGACGTGGTCGAGGAACGTCATCATGGTCGGCCTGATGAAGCGTCTGTGGACGGAAGACGTCGAAAGCGAAAAGAAGTAAATCCAGTTGACTTTTTTGTTCATACACTATCTACTGCTGGGATTGTTGAAAAGAGTAATAGACATACAACTTCATAATCATTCGCTGACCCATATTGTATACAAACACCGAATATGTAATTTCAACAAAGTGACTTTATAAAATATACAAGAATGGCATGCAGAGCGTGATGTTTTTTAATGTAGATTTGAGTTTTCTTTTTGGCAAGATAAAGAAGATATCTGGATATAGACATTCAATTAAAAAATTCGAGTAGTTATTATAAGGGTCACTTATTATAACCGGATCAATTCAATTTTGTGTGTATCTACCGCCACTTTGAAATAGATAAAGTAAATACGAATACGTGAAAGAAAAACGAACTCAATCAATAAAGAATGAATATGAAATAACGAATAACTTAAATAAAGAGTATAAACATTGATTGTATAATACACAACACTCTGTACATCAGTATATCTATCACAGTTTCTTTAGAGTTTTTGTTTGTCTCTGTTTTTAAATATTTTTCCACGTACGTGTATATCTAGACGTACTGAACGTATATGTATATTAAGGCTGGTTGGTTATCATTCGGGCCATTTACCATTTGTCCAACCTTGTCTATGCATATTTAACCGGTTTCTGTTCTTGTATTCGGTCTCATACAATCTTGGTCTCTGATGCGCCTGGTATGCTTATCATTTTCCTGATGTCTTTAATAGAAATATTATTGATTTGTTCTACATTTGTCCGTGGCCATATACACAATTTATTGTCCGCTATGTATAAAATAGTTTTTGTCTAATGTAACGACCATGTGGTACGTAATAAATACGTTAATCTAAATTATGTAGTCGATGGCATTTAAACTACGTGGGAATTTGACGACTAGACCACATGGACAGTCTTTTATGGAACGGATTATAGGCCAATAGATGTTACACAATAAGGATATGGAAGATTAGACGGAGACAAATAGGGAATAGACGACCTATTTACTAAATGAAACGCCTAAAATCGACTTAATGAGAGTTTTCAGTTGCGATAAAGGTGAAAATAATTTGTTAGCTTCCTTTAATATTTTGTTTCCGAAAATTCGTTATTCTGAAAACGTGAAGCGACGCGAAGACCAGATGGAACAGCGAGAATAGTATATCACAAAGAAAAAAAAATGCATATTTCAATTCAAAATTGGAATTTAAATTGGAAATATGACAAGATATAGCTACAGAACTCGGACCAAAATGCCATGCCACATGTGCTTGCGTGTTCGTGTGTGTAAGTAATTCCATATACCCATGTGGGTTGAGTATGTAATATTCAGCAAGCCTGATTGAGTCGATTTTCTCTTATGTTGGCGATGCTGTAAAACTAAAGTATACAAACGCTGTTTATAATCATGAATCACAATCAGCTCTCGATTTTTTTCTTCAGACAGTCGCTTGACCAGATCTCAAATATATATGTACTTGTTTCTAATGTTTTGAATGCATGTAAAACTAAAAGAAAAGAAAAAACGGAAAAGAAAAGAGAGAGCAAAAAAAGTTATTATATCATGAATTTATTTTAAGAACATCGCAAACCATGTATGACGTGATGGAGGCATACCAGATACCCATAGTGACATTGCATTGCTGTATATTATATGCTACATGTTTCCTATGATACGTTAGGTGTTGAAGCTAATAATGTTCTTTGTAATGTTTGTGATTATAATTCTGATTTTATCCATGTTATATTTTCTTATGTCATATTTCATTTATGTCGTTTTTCATAGTACCGTTATGGATATTCCGACCTTATACGTATTTCATCTGATCTACATGTATTAGTTTTCAGTTCCTAAAATGATATTTTCAAAATATTTAGGTTAAACAGAAAAATACACAGATTATAATAGAAGACTTAGATGTAGACATGAAAGATGTAGGCAAATACGGTAGAACATATAACCAGATGGCTTATTACTATAATAATAGCAAAAACTCATTTGGCTGTACATAGATGTGGTCACACACAGGGAATGCAAATATTAACTCTGAAAGGAACTTCCGTAAATTCTTGATATGTTAATAACAAACACTGAATAGATTAACATGTATTACTTTGCACTTGTTGCACCTATCGTTTAATAGTACTCTACAGAAATGCTCTTCACATCGAACGTAAATAAACAATAATCGCATGTACAGTATGCAGGCGTATCTGCGGGCAAAATATCTTATGGGCTTTAGCTGGCAGCCTAAATCAAGCAAATCTTGATTTCTGTGTATCCTCGAGTTGCAAATGAAGTTTGTTTTGCTGTATATAGCAATTGGCGAATTTAGATGAACCTAGAAATAATATTTGAAGTCATATGCAATTGTCATCATGTATATCGCAATGGCGCGCCATGGCGGGAAAACTATGTAGATGATACTCTGAAAATTATGTAAGAAATAAAGTGACAAGACTTTTGATTTCATTTTGAACTTTACTTGAATTTGAATATGTAAGCTACTAATACAAATACTTTGTCTTCCTCAATATATCATTAATGTCTATTCTCTACCAGACCGTTGATCAGCTTAATATATATTTGCTTTCAAGAGAATCATAGAGTTTGCAAACAAAATGTTTAATAAATCATTGGAATATTCGTCTGGCATTGATATCTCTCCCATGTGTAAAGTGTTTTCGAAGGTTAATCAAGGTGCGGGGAGGGTATAATTATTATACAGTTATAATTTAATCCATTATCTTCAACGGGTGCAGTCATGTATTTAACACCGGAGGGACGGGAAATAGATTTCACCCTCGCCTTTAACATTGGTTAGTGTAGATTATGCAGGTTAGAAGGGGGAGAGGGGATTACACTTCCATGATGATACATGTAACAGAGAGGAGCATTTGCGAGAGAGAGAGTTTTTGTGTGTATTGAAGATAGAAGTATTTACAAAGAGGGAGAGGGAACTGGAGAGAGAAATGTAGAGAGATCTAAAGAGGGGGGGGGGGCGGAGAGAGTACGGAAGAAAGAACTAAAGAGGGGAGAGAAAGGGAAAGATATTTAGGGAACATGAATGCGGTCCCTCCGTTCCCGGAGTAGGTGAGGGGGCAGTGCTTTAATAATTATAAACAGTGGCCAAGCTACGTGGGGGCACATAACGCGTGCCCAGAAATGGTGATTAGTGCATGGTCAAAATGAAGAGAAGTAAACGGAGAATAAGAATGGGAGAAGGAAAATGGGTAACGTGAACTGGTGAAATACGATGATACGACCCTTTCCACAGGCGCTATTTACTGTATAATTCCTGTACTGAGTGGAAGGGAACGGGATATTAGAGAAAGAGAGGATAAGGAGGGGGCAGGCAGCGACACAAAGAGAAGGGGGCATGGTAATAAAGAGAGAGAAAAAAGAAACAAAGGTAAAGACCAGTTTTGGAAACGCCTCCTTCTCAAAAAAATGAAATGGAAGCTCGTATTACCAATCATGTGAAAGAATATGTTTTGACTAATACGTGATCATACATATTTTGCCGGAAAACCGCCTACTAATTGATATATTTGGTAAATTATTATAATTATCTATCTGGACTGGATAGATATAGGGTAATCCCATATACATGTTTCTGTGTACAGTGCTTGTAACTTTACCAAGACTGGGCCAAATTTCTTATTATTTTGATGATTCCATAACCTTGCAGTACACATCAATACTTATATGCTAGATGGAGGAGCATTAGTTTACTGTTCTACACCTGTTTCCCCTCCCCCTATGGTACCAATGCCCCCTCCCCCTCTCAATGCCTGGACCTACCATACTCCACTGTTTACGAGTGTGCCGACCCATTGAATACACTGGTAAAAGAACTTACCCCTTTGGGCTCATCCTCACCAACACATACATTATGACATTTTATTCGCTCTACGTTCTGCACCTCAACGTGCCGACATGTAGAATCTTCGGAAAAAACGATCGCAATTATTTTTGAAAAGTCAACAGATCAACTCAAGAGTAGTTTTAGTACTCTATTGAATGCCCGATCGAAATCATGTTCTAACTACATGTACGTAATACCTCATTGTTATGTTCACACATTTAAATTGCTTTAGGTTGAATTTCCGAAAATAGTCGGTACCATGTTTGAATTATATGTTATTTGTTTAACAGTGAACGTGCCGACATAGAATCTTCAGAAAGCACGCACGTACCTATTTTCGAAAAGTCAAGAGCAATTTCGGTACTCTATTGTATGCCCGATAGAAATCATGTTCTGATTACGTAATACCTCATTGTTATGTTCACACATTTCAATAACGCACAAAACTAATTTAAATTGCTTTAGGTTGATTTTCCGAAAATAGTTGCTACCGTGTTTGAATTTTATGTTGTTTATTTAGTTAACGTGCCAACATATAGAATCTTCAGAAAACACGCTCGTGTATATTTTCGAAAAGTCAACTGATCAAGTCAAGGCCTAAATTGCTTTAGGTTGATTTTCCCAAAATAGTAGCTATCGTATTGGATTTTAAAAAAAATAGTTATCGTATCTATAGTCCACCTGCACTAGAATAAAAATCTGAGGTAATATTAATATGTGATTATGAACATTTTGATCCAGTAAATATAATCAATATTTTATTTTAACTCAGAATTAAAAACATAAAAAATGCATTAAATGTTGAGTTACAATAACATCAATAGAAGTATCGATGAGTAAGGTAGCGAACAAGAGGAATAATTTCCTCACATCAACAAGATAAAAATAACTTAAATTGACCGACAAGAAAAACGAAGTCTTAGAATGAACCAGAATTTAACTT